AACAATTTTCCCGGACGGAGGGAGTATTTTTTACTACTTAGTCCACACACTCCTCATTCCTAGATCTGTCCCTGATTCGAGTATTAGTTACTTCTCCCCATACTTTAATAGGCAAGACCAAACTAAATGAAATTCGAAAATTTGAGTCCAATTAAAATTTTGCAAAACCTATAGTCGAACATAAGTCCACCATACTATTAAGGGATGAGAGTAATTAAAGCCTCTAATCACCAATTATATAGCATTATCTCTTTGGCGATAGGGTGAGGCATGTAATTGACAGCTTGACATTCGATGGGCACGCCAATAATTATTGGTGGAGTCAAAGCTGAAAGATGAGGATCCATCCATCGAGTCCGTCCAAAAACGATGACGAAAGCCGTGACCACAGCAGCACCACACGTGGGAACCAGCCAGCACACGTGGCCCGTCCAGATAAGACCGTCGGCACTACTTCAACGGCTGCGGTCAACCTTGATCCCCAAGCAAACCTCCCCCCTCTCTCAAAATTAACCCAATGAGTCCCACGGCTCAAGCATCTTTCATATCTTCCACGTGTTTAAATTTCGCAGGTCGAACCCGCAAATTAAATGCTTTTGAGAAAACGATGAACCTCTTTGTGAGGTGTGTAGTACGGGAGAGCCGAGAGGCTGCCAGCAAGGAATTTACCTACCAAGTAACAATGTTGCATTAGTCTAACACGTATTGGTACGTCGCACCTCATCTAACCTTTTGTTTGAAATATATAACCCGCACGGGTAGGTCAGTTAGTTGAGTGGCGAGAAAATTGGAAGAATGACAAAAAATCGAATCCTGCAGCGATCATGTGGAGGTTACAACTCCTGCGTGTTGGACCTCTGGTGCGTACAAGTACACGGTCTTCCATCATTGGATCAATTGAGTCACCGTAACTTAAAACATCTCAACGGTCATGTCGTGTCGGGGCGTGGGGATTCAATTTCGATGATTGTTGATGCACACAAATTTATACACAATTGACACAGTCTTATAGTTAATTGTTTGAGTATATAGACAATTGTTGCAGAACTGTTATACACAAATATCTAAAAAGTGTAAATATTGCCGGTGTGCATAAATAATTAAATGCAAATGTCACAAGTATGTACCAATTTCAATTTTTGGGAGTGAACTTGTATCATTGGGTGTTTTTAATAAGAGATTGATCGAAATAAATTGGCCTACAAGACATATAAAATAATAAAAAAAAAGTTGACATTATCTAATGAAAATATTTTTTGTATTTTACTCAAAATCATCTACTTTGTGACGACATTCTTATCTAAGAGGGCCAGCTCTGGTAGGGACTTGACAAAGGCAATGGTTTAGAGCCTCATTTGTGACAAAGACCAAGACGGGAGTAAGATATAATAATAATTAAAGTTGAAAAAGTAAGACCGATCGAAAAAATTAAGAAAAAATGAAATGAGTGAGAAAAAATGAAAGTGTACAAAGTGTTATACTAGTATTTAAATATGATAAAGTTTCTAATTATAGAAATGGATCCAATAAAACAAAAACAAACAAAATTAGTTATGTGCTAACTATTGTTCAGCGGGAGTGTGATTTATCGGTTATCCTTTTAATTTTTAGCTATTCGTATACTCGACTTAGCTTAAATTGAATTGGACACATTACATATGATTACCGTGGTAAATGAATAAGGATATTTTCTTTTGGATTGTTTTCAGTCCCAGACCAAGTCAGACCAGACCAGAATTGACTTCCGTAGTTATAAAAACACAGAGATCATACGTTTATCAGACCAGACCAAATCAACAATCCTAAATATCGGAACTTTAAAAAAACATCCTAAATGTCGGAACTTTTTTTTTTGGTAAAAAAAAAACAAACATCCTAAATATCGGAACTTTAAAAAAACATCCTAAATATCGTAACTTTAAAAAACTCGTATTTGGCTTTGAAGCTTGTTATACCCGTAGTATGAATTTAAGAGGTCTAAAATTGAACGGATGTTCTTTATGAACACCTGTCCTCGACACCACTTTATGAACTCATAGTCACCCCTCTAGTTTTAATCTTCTCTTTTGTCTCTTTTGAAAATCCAACTAAACACACTAGTCTTTTTTAGATAATAATGAAAGCAACTCAATCAAAAATTAGGATGTTTTCATTTGGACTGTAATTTCATGGTCTAGTTTGGTCTGATCTGGTTTGAACTGGTCTGGTCTAGTCTGGTCTGATCTGGTCTCTTTGTATTTTTGTAACTATCCAAGTCTGGTCTGGTGTGATCTGTTCTGCTCTATTCTGGTTTGGTTTGATCTCGGACAGATTACAGTCTAAGTAAAAACATCTTTAATCATCAAATATATTACTCACTCCCCATTTTTTTTTCAGTTTTTCAATTTTTATTCCCTACCTAAATTAACTTATCTTTCTCGTTTTTGATAAAATATTTGTGGTTGACAACATTTTCTCTCATTTAGTTTCCCTTTTGCACAACTTTAAGTTATATATGACTATGTTTTGCAGGCAAAAGTCCCTGTCTTCTAGCTTTTGTATCATTTAAAAAGTCTCTAAAAACTCCTAGTCGTATGTTTGGCATGACAATTTTAAGAGTTTTTCAAAAAAATAAAAAGCTCTTTTTTGAGACGCTACAGGCAGTAGCATCTGAAAAAAGTCTGTGACTTTTAGCATTATTAGTCCTACCAGCTTCTATGTCAAACAGAACTAAATCAAAAGTCAACTTTTTATCAAACGGCTGCTATGTTTTATTTTTAAGAACTTTTCAGTCACTAACAGCTAACAGTTACTAAAAAGTGTGTGAAAGTATCTTTTCACTTAGTTGTGTCAAACGTACTCTATGTTTCTAACCTTCTTAATCTTTGTGCAAAGTCAAAATATGATGTTATATTAGAACGGAGAGAGTAAATAACACAACTAAAACATCAAAATTATCCTAACCGATCATATTATATTATATTACCGTCAAAATTACTTATCAAAATATATATTCAAATTATTTATTTTAATTACGGAGTATTATTTACTCCCTCCGTCTCTAATAACTTTGCAAGTTTGACCGACACAGAGATTAATAAGATAAAAACTGTGTGGTAAAGGTTTGTACAGAGGAGAGAGAATTAACAGGAACCATAAATACTTTACTTAAATAGAAAAATGGCAAAATTAATGGGACATTCAAAAAAGGAAAATAGACAAAGTTATAAGGGATGGAGGGTATATAAATAAGAATGGAAAATGTACGTATGCCGCGTGGGGCGGGAGGTAGGTGCTGTTCTGTTCGTCTTATTCTTATTACTTATTGCTTATTCTTATTTTATTCAGATCAGATCAGATCAGATCAGAAAAATTCAGATGAGATCAGATCAGATCAGAAAGATTCAGATCAGATCAGATCAGATCAGAAAGATTCAGATCAGATCAGAAAGATTCAGATCAGATCAGACCAGATCAGAAACATTCAGATCAGATCAGAAACATTCAGATCAGATCAGATCAGAAAAGTTCAAACATGATTTATCACTTTTATTATTATATTAATTATTATTATTAATATTGTTATTACTATTATGATTATTATTATTATATAATTATTATTAATATATTAATAATAATATGATAAAGAAATAAGATATTAATAATAGTTATAATATTTTAATATAATAATAGTAATATAAATGCAATTATTAAGAAGACTATTATTATTATTATTATTATTATTACAATATAACAATAATAATATTATTATAATATTATATTATAATTATATGTAATTATAATTATAATTACAATTATAATTCTTATAATTATAAGTATAATCAATTGTAATTATTATAATTATATCTATAATTAAATATAATTATAATAATTATAATTATAATTACAATCATAATTATAATTATGATTATAATTATAATTATAATTATAATATAATATTATAATAATATAATACTAATAATAATAATAATCGGATTATTATTAATATATTGTAATAATAATATTAATATAATAATATCGTTATGATAATATTAATTGTATTTATAGTACTATTATTATATTATAATATTATAATTAATGTTAATATAATTATAATTATTATTAATTATAATTATAATAATTATAATTATATTATTATATTATAATATTATAATTAATTTTAATATAATTATAATTATTATTAATTATAATTATAATAATTATAATTTTACTTATAATTATATTATAATTAGAATTTATGATTATAATTATTATTTTTATTATAATAATAATTATTATTATTACTATTGTAATTATTTTACGGAGTAATTATAATAATATTGATAACTATATTTACAATTATAGAGATAAATATTGTAATTATAATTACAATTATAATTACATAAGTAATTATAATTAAAAATATAATTACAGTTATAATTATATCTATATTTATAATTAGTGTAATAGGTATAAATTTTTTCATTTTAAATTTAATTTTAATTATTATTATTATTATTATTATTATTATTATTATAGTTACGATTATAATTATAATTTTATTTAAATTATATTTGTAATTGCAATTATAATAATTATAATTATAATTATAATCATAATTATAATCATAGAAACATTCAAATCAGATCAGATCAGAAAGATTCAGATCAGATCAGAAGGATTCAGATCAGATCAGAAACATTCAGATCAGATCAGACCAGATCAGAAACATTCAGATCAGATCAGAAAGATTCAGATCAGATCAGATCAGATCAGAAAGATTCAGATCAGATCAGATCAGATCAGAAAGATTCAGATCAGATCAGATCAGATCAGAAAAATTCAGATCAGATCAGATCAGAACTTAAAAAATTCAGATCAGAAATATTCAGATCAGGCGAAGAGAACAGCTTCGTACTAAATACTAGCCTTATCAACAAGCTAGCTGTCAGTCAAAGAGATGACTTCTTTTTAAAACACCTCGTGCGAATTACGCTCTCCACTCAAATTTTCCATTTTTATATGCACAACCACTATATATATAAATACTCATTGCGGGAAGTCCAACTTTCAACCACTGAGAAACAAAACAAAAGAAAAAAAATATCTGGGATCAGAAGAAAGAAAAGTTAGCTGCTAGAAAAGTCCTGCGACGAATTGAAGGTTAAAAAGCAGAGGTTAAGAGAATATTCAACTGAAGATGAAAAGTTACGGTGGAACTATGAACGATCAACAGCAGCGATTGGATATGCCGCCGGGTTTTCGATTCCACCCCACAGATGAGGAGCTGGTGGTGCACTATCTCTGCCGGAAATGCTCCGGCCAGTCCATCTCTGTTCCGATCATCGCCGATATCGATCTTTACAAGTTTGACCCCTGGCACCTTCCTGGTAAGCTCCTACTAGCCATATCTCTCCGAGCTTGGTTTGGAATCTTTGGGTCTTCGAATTGAATTTGACTTCTCAATGTTTGGGTCTAATTTGATGCAGGTATGGCTTTATACGGTGAAAAAGAATGGTACTTTTTCTCTCCGAGAGACAGGAAGTACCCGAACGGGTCCCGGCCGAACAGGGCCGCCGGAACAGGGTACTGGAAGGCGACCGGAGCCGATAAGCCCGTCGGGAAACCGAACACTTTGGGGATAAAGAAAGCCCTTGTCTTCTACGCCGGCAAGGCCCCTAAAGGTGTCAAGACTAATTGGATTATGCACGAGTACCGTTTAGCTAACGTTGATCGCTCCGCCGGAAAAAGGAACAATTCCAGGGTATGAATTTCTATTTATTCCATTCAAAAATTCAATATTTTGTTTTGATTTATAAATTCCGTTGAATAACCATTAATTTGATATCTTTACAGCTTGATGATTGGGTGCTCTGCCGGATATACAACAAGAAAGGCACGGTTGAGAAGTTCTACAACCTGCCGGAAGTTCAAGAACAGAAGCCGAACATAACCCAGAATTTACAGAGCAAGGCGGCGCTACTGCAAGCGCCGCGACTGCCACCGCTGATTTCGCCGGCGGTGGTGGAGAGCAAGAACGAGTACGTGCACTTCGACACGTCGGAGTCGGTGCCCAAGTGGCACACCGACTCGAGCTGCTGCTCGGAGCAAGTGCTGTCCCCGACGGAGTTCGCCGCCGACCGGGAGGTCCAGAGCGCGCCGAAATGGGATGACATGGACTTCCAGCTCAGCAATTTCATCGATCCTCTAAGAGATGACCTGTTCAATGTTCAGCAGTATAATAATCCCTTCCAAGAAATGTTTATGTTCACGCAGAAGCCTTGTTAAATTAGGGGAAAAAACATGTTTGTAGAGTGCTGATTGGTGGATCATCATTCATCCATCGGATATTACTACTAGTTTAGAGCTTATAAAACGACATTCTTTGTCCTTGTAAAAACATTAATTCAACCGATTAGTGTCATGCCAGTAATTAAGTATGGCTGAACGAGTCCTAACTTAAATTATCAGCGTGGCTAGTTGGGAACTCGGATGTTGGATTAATTCAAACGATTACTGTAATAGTATAATGCCACTAATCTGTGTTAGGGTAAAACTATCAAACCTTGTTTATACGATCAATTTAATTTAAGTTTAATCTCTTGTAAACAACAAGAAATTTCAAGTTGTGGTAAATTGAGTCTTAGGGGGTTTAAATTATTTGCTTATTCAAACTGCTTTTGCTAGAGTGGTTCATGTTAAACATTGGAAGCAGTTTAAAATTCCTTCTAGCCTTCTCTAGAAGGATTTTTAAAAATATGGGATTTCTAGAAAACATTGGAACCACCTCCTAGAAATATGTTTCTGGAAATAAATGTACATATGATTATAAGTGATGGTTTTAATTGGATCGTAATTTTCTAAATTAGTGTGGTCAGTTTAAGTTTGGTCTCATCTGATCTGAATTGATTTGATCTGACATGATTTGTTTTAAGAATGAAACCAATCAATAAAGCAAATAAACAATAAAGTGAATTGATTTGGTCACTTCAAATTTTAGACCCATAATGTAAGATACATATGGGGTTTGATGTTTGTAAGCAAATAAACAATAAAGTGATTGTTTTACAAATCCTAACCTTCAAAAAGTGAGAATGAGAAGGATAGATTCACAAAAAGTAATGTGAAATGATGGATAAAAGGATAGAAAGTACTACGTAATTCATTATTGGAGTCTAATTTAGAAAAGTGATAATATTTTTTAGACAAACTAAAAAAGAAAGTGCATTTTACAAAATAGAACAGAGGGAGTAATTAGGATATTTTCTTTTGTACTGAAATTTGATGATCTGGTTTGGTTTGTTCTGGTCTGATAAATGTCTGGTCTTTGTTATTTTTTAACTACAGAAGTCCGATCTGATCTTGTGTGATCTGGTCTGATCTGATCTTGTCTGATATGATCAAGTATATACGGAGTATATGAATTGCAGGGACGGATGTAGGGAGCAATGTTAGACCCCACCAATCCCAATTTGATAAATTGTTAAGTTATAAGAGTAAAAAAAATTCATGTAAAACTTTATCCAAAAGAAATTCTTTATACTCATCCAACCCAATCAAATGTTCTTTCCACGCCCCTGATACGTCGTATTCTTAACTTTATGAACAATACAACATTTCTTTTTCTTTAAAGTGTAATAAAAATAATTAGTTATTGCTTCAATGCTTCTACATCATTTCAATACTCAAACTTTGATATGTAATCTACATTATTTGAAGCATTCCTTTTATATGTACTAATATTTAAACATTGATGTGTAATTTTGTTAGTACTAGTGTGATATTTTCATATTTTGGAAATTTAAAACAATGAGGTGATTCAAAATACTACCTCCGTCCCATTTATATTGGGACGGAAGAGAGTGGAACGGTTATTCAGAAAAGTGGGTTTGTCTGGTTGATATTAATTAATAAAGTAAAAATAAAGTAAGAATGATTTAGAGCCACACAAACTTTGTCAAATATGGTATGTGACAATTTAAGTGGGACTTCTCGAAAAGGTAAAACGGGACAATATAAATGGGACGGAGGGAGTAGCAAGTTATTCCGACATTCTAAAACGATTATCTACCCCATGTAGCAGAATAATCACTACTAAATATTTAAGTTACAATCTCTTAATTGAATGTCAAGATTTGCCATAGAGCTCGACCCGTAGTGCTTTCAGTCAAATCACGAGTTTGATATGAACACTTGTGATGAGTGTGAGTGAATAGCTTCCTTGATGGTGAGAGAAGAAGATCAAAGAGTGAATGTGAGTGAAGTAATATCATACAAGTATACAAAGACTGAAGTGAACAACCCATTTACTTGTAGATCTTTCTTTTATATTTCAATGGTATTATAAAAAGTGATATTATCAGATTGAATATTTATATTGTCAGTGTGAGTGATCGTACAAAAGTCCTATTAGTTCATGATTCTAGAAGAGATCGAGACTCGTGTTTCCCTAACAAAAAATACGACATTTTTAAAAATTGAGTGTGCTAGAGCCTAGGTTGACTCCCTGCCCCTGGACGGCTGGACATGAGATATGTCAATGACGTTATTCCCGCTCTATGTAAACTGTTCATATGATATACAGAGTATATTAACGAAAATTATATGGAGCTTGTTGATTAGATAGCTGCATCGCATTCATTCAAATCTTATTAATAAAGTTCATTTTTATGAGTTGAGGGCATTTAGTGCATCAATCTCAACACTTGCTAGATAATGCTCGTATGTATCCTTGCCCTGCTTTTGGTTGTCACTAGAGCTGTGAAGAAACTTTATGACATTGAAGAAGAAGGAATATGTTTTTATAGCGCAATACAAAAAGACCTTGGCCTTGTTCTATGTAGGAGAAGGAGAACAACCTCTAATCTTTTCAAAGTCTTTTTGTTATAATCTGTTGAAGATGGAGTCTTGTTCAGAATTTTAAAGCAGTCACCCGACCGGGTATATTGGGTCACCCGACCGGGTATGTTGAAGCAGAGACCTGGGAACTCACTGGAACGTGAGACCCGACCGGGTCAGGTGAGGCACCCAACCGGGTCAGTGATGGTTTATAGCTTCTGTTTTGGATACCCGCCCTGGTATCGACCCGGGCGTGAATTTTGTGAAGAGACCCGACCGGGTCAAGGGGGGCACCCGACCGGGTCTACGAGATTTTTTGATTACGGGCTTTGATTTTAATTAAGGCCTGCGGCTCTAATCTGTGTTTAGGTTTTCTTAAACCTATTTAAACGACTCTTATGTACTTGTAAACCTCTTGGGACGCTGATAATAATACATCCTCTCTCTCGTTCGCCGTGGACTAGCACAATCAACCCGATTGTGTGAACCACGTTAATTCTTGTGTTCTTGCTCTTAATTTATCGTTTATCTTTGCCAAATCGTAACAATTGGTATCAGAGCTATGGCTGACGAAGGGAAGGTTAAGATCGATAAATTTGATGGTCAAGATTTTGCTTTCTGGAAGATGCAGATCGAGGATTATCTCTACCAGAAAAAGCTTCATCTACCCTTGTCTGAGAACAAACCAGAGACGATGTCGGAGGCGGAGTGGAACCTGTTGGACCAACAGGCTCTTGGTGTGGTGAGGTTATCGTTGGCGAAAAACGTTGCTTACAACATCGTCAACGAGAAGACAACGTTCGGACTGCTCAAGGCGTTATCCAATATGCATGAGAAACCCTCAGCTGCCAACAAGGTTTTCTTAATCAGACAGTTGGTGAACACAAGGATGAAGGAAGGTGCATCCGTGACAGATCACATCAACGAGTTTAATTCAATCATATCCTGGTTAGGCTCAGTTGAGACTAAATTCGATGATGAAGTTCAAGCGTTACTTTTGTTATCATCTTTGCCCGATAGTTGGTCCGGTACAGTCACAGCGGTTAGTAGTTCATCTGGAACCACTAAGCTTACCTTTGAAGGTATTCGTGACTTAATCCTTGGTGAGGATATCCGGAGGAGGAGTTCGGGGGATAGCTTCAACAGTTTGTTGAGTACTGAAGATAGGGGCAGAAAATCCACTAGAGGGGGTAACAAGAAGGGAAGATTAAAGTCGAGGAAGAGAGGTCAATCCAAGAATAGGAATGACATCAATTGTTGGAATTGCAAAGAGAATGGACACTTCAGAAATCAGTGCCCAAAAGCCTCTGCAGACAAAGGCAAGAAGGAGGTGAACGTGGCAGAGGATTATGAAGATGTTCTAATTTGCAGCGTTGAGAGTTCAATTGAGTCCTGGATCATGGATTCAGGTGCGTCGTTTCATGCCTGTCATTGTGATGAAAAATTTCAGGCCCTATAACGGAAGAGTTCGTTTGGCGGATGACAAATCCCTGGAGATCACGGGTATTGGGGATGTTGATCTCAGTACCACTTTGGGTACAACCTGGAGGTTGAAAGATGTGAGGTATATTCCAGACCTGAAGAAGATGTTGATCTCAGTGGGACAGCTTGATGAGGAAGGCCATAACGTTAGTTTTGGCAACAAGCAATGGAAGGTGACAAAGGGAAAGCTGGTCATTGCTCGTGGACAGAAGCATGGTACACTGTACATGGTTAAAGTGTCCACAGATGGAGCAAACGCAACAGTTGAAGATACAGGGGTCTCTACTTTGTGGAATCAAAGACTTGGGCACATAAGTGAGAACGGAATGAAGATGTTGTCTTCAAAGGGCAAAATCCCAGATTTGAAAAATTCAAAGTTGAGCTTTTGTGAGCCATGTGTTCTAGGAAAGCAAAAGAGGGTAACCTTTGTGAAGACGGGACAACAACCCAAGACTGAGCGGCTGTAGTTGATTCATTCAGATGTCTACGGACCTACAAAGGTCTCTTCGATTGGAGGTTCCCGGTACTATGTTACATTCATTGATGACTCTACACGGAAGGTATGGGTTTATTTTCTTAAGAATAAATCTGATGTCTTTAACACTTTTAAGAAGTTCAAGGCTGCAGTTGAGAATGAAACAAATCTCAAGATTAAGTGTTTAAAGAGTGATAATGGGGGTGAGTACAGTAGCACAGAGTTTGTAGAGTATTGTGCTGAACAGGGGATCAGAATGCTGAAAACGGTTCCAGAAACACCACAGCAAAATGGTGTTGCAGGGAGGATGAACAGAACACTGAATGAGAGGGCCAGGAGCATGAGATTGCATGCAGGACTTCCAAAGATGTTCTGGGCCGATGCGGTGAACACGGCAGCATACTTGATCAACAGAGGACCCTCATCTCCCATAGGTTTCAAAATTCTAGAAGAGGAATGGAAAGGTCGAGAGGTATCTCTTACTCACTTGAAAGTTTTTGGTTGTATTTCTTATGTCAAAGTTAGAGATGCAGATAGTGACAAACTCGAGGCAAAGGCAAAGAAGTATATCTTTATTGGGTACGGGATGGATGACATGGGCTACAGGTTCTGGGACAACCACAACAAGAAGGTTATCAGAAGTAGAGATGTCACTTTCAACGAGAATGCCCTATATAAAGATGGTCTTGCAGCAGATACGAGCAACGGCAAACAACCAGAAACCAAACAGCAAGTGGTGTTTGATGGGATGACTGAAGATGACATAGCACAACCTGCTGGTTGTGATGAGATGACTGGAGGCTCAGGGAGCAGTGGGAGCTCAGGAGATACAGGAATGTCTGAAGATAGTGG